AATTCGAGCGTGTTAGAGAAGGACGCACATAAATATAAAAACCCCGGTGCACACCGCGTAAGGATCAGTTCTGATTGACGTACGAGAAGTGCAGTAAACTGTAAAGTCAGGAACTAAATAACCACGTTCGAAAATAATCGTGCCGTATAAGCTTTATTTGGAGTAGTTCAGAGTGTAAAGTAGTGTTAAATTTCGTGCGAATTATATGTTATTGTGTTAATAAAATTCGTTAAAGTTCGAAGAAGTAGTCTCACTTATCTGCGAACCCGTATAAGTAACAATTGGTGTCAGAAGTGGCATAAGTGAGTGAAGAAATTTGCATTTATGGTAAATACGAGAAAACAGACTGCCGAAATGGAAGAACAGCTAAACCAGGTGCTCGCTTTGTTCACACTTGCGGACGAGAAGAGAGCAAAAGAAAAACAAGAAGAACAGGACCGACTACAGAAAATCCTTCAAGAACAAGAAGACAGGCGACTTAAAGAAAAACAGGAAGAAGAGGACAAGCGACAGCAAGAGCAAGACCGGCTCCAGAAAATTCTGCAAGAACAGGAAGACAGACGACAGAGGGATATTGACAGGATCGCTGAGTGGTTCCAGAACATCCAACAAGAAGTCAAAGGCGAAATAGAAACGGTTCGAGAAGAAGACAAACGCGAAATGGGGACGATCCGAGAGGAGTTCGAGAAAAAATATAGAAAACTGGAGAAAAAAATGGAGAAAATTCGCGAAGAACCCAATATCAACGAAAGTACCAGCAAAACGGATGTATCGGTGAGCCCAATCGTACGCGGCCAACTCAAACCACCAACTTTTGACGGCGAAACATCATGGTCCATGAATAAACGACAGTTTAAGGCCACTGCTAGTGCAAATGGATGAGATGATCAGCAAAAAGCAACATCATTGGTACTTGCACTGCGAGGAAAGGCGCTTGAAATTCTTCAACATATTCCCGAGGCAAAACAAAGTGATTATGCAGCTGTTGTAGGAGCCTTAGAGCTGAGGTACGGAAACAGGTATCTCAGTCAGTGGACTTTAGAAATAAAATGTTGAGAGTGGGCAACGAAGAAATACTCTTCTCATCACCATCAAATAAGGACTGTCAAATTAGAATAATCGTTGATGAAGATACACGAGTTCCTGGGAATAGTGAGTCGAATGTGCAGGCACACCTAGAAAAACAGCTAAAAGGCGTGAACACCATGATCGTGAGCCAACAGGAAACATGCAGAATGGAACACTTATGGCATATTGCTTAGTGAATTCCAACAATGTTTTTCCAGTGAGAGTGGCCAATCTAACAACAAACCGTGTGACATTGAAGAAAGGAGACGTCATTGGCAGATATACACCAGCTATACGAGTAGTCAGATGCGCAAAGAAGGAGCATGTGTCAAATGAAGTACATTTATCAATAGAGCTTCTGGAGAAGTTTGAAAAGAGCTGGAATCACTTAGGCCAGCAAGAAAAGAAGAAAGCTATTGACTTTGTGCAGAAAGAGGCTGGTGTTTTTGTGAAAGATAAAATTACTGGACAAACTAATTTGGTAGATTATCGCATAAACACAGGAAGTGCTACACTCATTCGACAACCACCACGAAGACTCCCTTTCGCAAAGCAACAGCAAGTTAACACCATACTTAAGGAAATTCTGAAGGACGACATCATAGAAGAATCTAATAGTCCATGGTCATCGCTGGTCGTACTAGTTACGAAAAAGGATGGTTCTACCAGGTTTTGTTTGGATTATAAAAGGTTGAATGACGTTACGAAGAAAGACAGCTATCCATTACCCCGGATTGACGATACCCTTAACACCCTATCAGGATCCAAGTGGTTTTCAACTCTGGACTTGAAAACTGGATATTGGCAGGTGGGACTCAATAAAGAGGATAAAGAGAAGACCGCATTTACTGCAGGAAACGGCCTATATCAATTTAACATCATGCCGTTTGGATTATGCAATGCACCTGCCACTTTTGAAAGACTGATGCAGTTAGTTTCGCGAGGACTGACTTGGGAAACGTGCATAGTATATCTGGATGATGTTATGGTGATTGGCAAAGATTTCGACGAACACCTGTCGAATTTGAAGGAAGTTTGTGCCAGGATTCAAAGTGCCAATCTGCAAACTAAATCCCAAGAAGTGTGTTCTATTCCAGGAAAAAGTAAACTTCCTCGGCCATGTCGTCTCATCAAAAGGAATAGAGACAGATCCAGATAAAGTCCAAGCTGTGCGAGATTAGCCCAGACCAAAGAATAAACATGAAGTTAGAAGCTTCCTGGGACTCTGCAGTTACTACCGCCGGTTTATCAAGGATTTTGGGAAGATTGCGAAGCCTTCACATGAACTAACTGAAATGAACGCTCGTTCTGATTGGATACCTGAATGTCAACGGTCTTTCGTGGAGCTGAAAAATAAATTGACTAGTGCTCCAGTTCTGGCGTATCTCAAGGATGAAGGTCTATTTATGTTAGACACCGACGCTTCGCAAAGTGGAATAGGGACTGTTCTTTCCCAAATTCAAAACGGCGAAGAAGTAGTAATTGAATACTTCAGTAAGTCCATTGGAAAGGCAGAGAAGAATTATTGTGTCACCCGAAAGGAGCTGCTGGCAGTAATAAGATCTGTTGAACATTACCACAGCTTTCTCTATGGCCGGAATAAGTTCCTAGTTAGAACCGACCATTCTGCATTGCAATGGCTGCTCAATTTTAAAAATCCGGAGGGTCAAATAGCGCGTTGGTTAGAGAAATTAAAAAGGACTTCCAAATCAAACATCGCAAAGGAAGGAGTCATGCCAACGCCGACAACCTATCACGAAGACCATGTATTTACAGCTCATGAAAATCCTGCCAAAGGCAAGAGGAAAAGGAGGCAACCAAAAATTCTGGAGTCTTTCAACAAATAAGGCTTAAGAATTCCGACAACGACGCTAATACTGGATGAGGACATTACGAGAGAAGACTTCGAAGAACAACAAAATATGGATAAGGAATTGAAAATGGTGCATGGCTGGCTACAAGACGGAAAACGAGCTGGATGGCAAGAAATTTCTAGTTTGGGTCAAACGGTGAAGGGATACTGGCTGCAATGGGACTCGTTGTGCCTGCGAGATGACTTGATCACTCGTAAATGGGAGAGTCCAGATGGAAAAAACCTCGTATATGCCACGGACCATGGTGGACAGAGTGCTACAAGAACTGCACAGTAGTAGGAGTGGCGGACACTTTGGAGTCAATAGGACCTTGGCTCGAGTAAGAGATAGGTACTATTGGATCAAGTGTCGTAGGGATGTTGAAGAGTGGTGCAGAGATGCGATCTCTGTATCAAGACGCGATCCCGTGGAGAAATGAAGCAGTACTTGTCCGGTTGCCCTTGGGAGAAAATTGCCGTGGATATTGCAAGTCCTTTTCCTACGACGGAGTCAGGGAATAAGTACCTCATGGTTGCTATGGACTTTTTTTTTCCAAGTGGCCAGAAGTAGTTCCCATACCCAATCAGGAAGCAGTTACTGTTGCGGAATCATTGCTGGAAAACGTCATATCCAGACATGGGGTACCCATAGAACTTCATACCGATCAGGGAAGGAATTTTCAGTCCGAGGTATGGAAGCAACTGATGAGGTTACTGGGAGTAAGGAAAACGAGGATGACTGCACTTCATCCACAGTCGGACGGAATGTTCGAGAGGAACAATCGGACCATCAATCAATACCTTTCGATGTTTGAAGATGATCACCAGCGAGACGGATAAATTAGTGCCTCTTTTCCTTCTGGCTTATAGAAGCTCTCAGCATGAGTCCACCGGCTATACACCATCTATGCTGTTGACTGGAAGAGAAATGAGGCTTCCAGTAGATTTAATGTTTGGCAGGCCTCCAGTCGATGGAGGCGAGGCTGTACTTCCAGTTTACGTGGCTGATCGCCAGGACAGACTTAGAGTGGTACACGATTTCGCCAGAAATAAGCTACGTCTGACCAGTGACAGAATGAAGATGAGACTCGACCAACGGCAGTCACTGAACACCTTTAATGAAGGCGATGCTGTCTGGTTGTATCAGCCACAGCGAAGAAAGGGACTTAGTCCGAAGCTGCAACGACCATGGGAAGGACCATACAAGGTCATTAAGAAAATCAACGACTTGGTATACAGAATACAACTTACACCCAAAACAAAGCCCAAGGTCGTTCATATGGAGAGGCTGGCTCCATACAAGGGCAAGAGCACACTGACTTGGATGCGATTGGGATAAGCTGTTCGGGGCGAACAGCTTTGAGGAAGGGGGCCACTCATACTTTTTGATTGCCCCCTGTAACTACAGTACAGAACTGAATCACGAAAATTCGAGCGTGTTAGAGAAGGACACACATAGCTATAAAAGCCACGGTGAGCACCGCGTAAGGATCAGTTCTGATTGACGTACGACAAGAGCAGTAAACTGAAAAGTCAGGAACTAAATAACCACAAAATAATCGTGCCGTCTAAACTTTATTTGGAGTAGTTCGGAATGTAAAGTAGTGTTAAATTTCGTGCGATTTTTATGTTATTGTGTTTAATAAAATTCGTTAAAGTTCGAAAAAGTAGTCTCACTTATCTGCGAACCCGTATAAGTAACAATACATTCAAATATAGGTTTCAGTATGGGAGAGGTAACCAATAATTGTATTGAAAGTGGTGGCCAACTTAAATGTTCAATTGGGTTACATTGTACAGATTTCCCTGCAGAGTCCATCCATATCCTCTCTATGATTTAAGTCATTACCAGCATTTGTGTTCAGGGAGAAACAGCTTTGTAACGAGTCTGCGCATTGTTAGCGCCGGAAACGCTGATCATTTCTTACCCCGCCGAGGACGAAATTTCTTATATTCAATATTCAACAGATTTTTGATAACTTTCATAACCACAAAAGTTACTAAACTTGTCATTTTAATGGTATTCGATTTATTTTTATTATGTTGGTCAGAGAACAACCTTAAGAAAAATGAAACTTACCTATAAAAACAAAAATCTGATGATGGGCATAGCGGAGAAGCATCGAAACAATAACAGTCTGAAAATCGAAAAAATAAACAGTTAAATAACAGTTACCTTGAATGGTTTTTAAAAAGCTTATATATAAATATTAACCAATGACATCTTAACACAGATAGACACCGCATATCATTCATAAACTGATGTTTGTTGTGATGACAAAATCTTCATGGGCCAGGGTCATGGTGGGGATGCATCAGAGGTGTAAACAAGACCCGCCTTTCCCTCTGAACTCGTCATTCACTTGACCGAGTGCAACTCGTTTATCTATCTATCTGCCTCTAACTCATGTGATATACGTTCGATGGGCGCGTTGACAAGCCAATCGATTGCATCGCGTACTCCGCCTGTTTTACAAAACCGGCGTTGCCAGTAGTCGTTTTTAGTTTTGGAGGGCAGGAAGCTCAAGTTTTTTGAAGGCAGAGTCAGAACAGGATAAAATATCAATCCGTAACAAATCGGCAAGAGATGGATCGCTCTCCTAGATGTTGGCGACACACAATTTTGTTCACTGTATCTTTTTGATGTCATTGATATTAACTATGAGATAACATCATTTTAAAATTTCTAAGAAGAGTTCTGCTTACAGGGAGGAGTTTTATGCAGCTCAGTACCAATCGCTAAGACGTCCAAGAAGCTTTTGACTCAATGTAAAACAAAGCAGTACTTCACATGATCCAATAAAAATTTGGACCTATGTTAGCGATAAAAGAAAAAGTAGTAATATCAGTTTCAAATTTACTTATGATTACAATGACTACTGATATTGCGAATGCCTTTGCTAGTTTTTTTCAGAATATGATTACTTATAGGGAAACCCTACAGAATCCAGGAAAATATAGTATGGATATACGGGTTGGGGGGTGGAGTGTCCCACGACGAACTGCCTCCATCGAATTTGCTATGTTGCCAAATTTTCAAAATTTGGCGAGTATATTTCTGTCTGGATTTCCTTTTGCTAGTCATGAGGTGTAGCAGTATGTTCTGATGCAGTTACCTACTGTGTATCTGTTGTGAAAGCTTTGTTCTGTTTGATATGCAGTACACATAAAATTCGCTATTATTATTATTATTTGAAAAAATTATTTTGGTCCCTATTAGTTATAAACCATATAGAAAGAACTTTCAATAGCTGAGCAACCTAAAACATTCTGACTACCGACTGCTTAGTATAAACCGAAAATGTATCTGTATGTCCTAGCGAGAATACAAATAATTTCCTGCAACATGCTGTTAATTGAGTTGGTTTGACGGAAATTTATATTAATTTGAATAATGAAGTGACAAACTATTAATTTTCGAACCACGATGTTTGAGAGACCAGTTGAGCACAGTTTAATGTGATGTCCTGATAATTAGAATAATTGGCCATCAAAAGCAACACTTTAATAGAAAATTTGTTTAATTAAAAAATGTATATTGAATAAAGAGTGAAAATAATTAAACAATTTTTTCTTATAATAATCAAGGACACTTAAACATCTCATGACGGACATGACTGAACATCATTCACCTATCCAGGAAGTATTTATATTTAATAGTTTTTTCATATCACAATTTTCTTCATATCACTTTTTTAACTTCTAAATCGCGAGTGTACGAAAATTAACGTGGCGGTCAATTATCTCTGAAAGCAGTGGTGCAATTCGAGCAAGCAAAATCCCTTCGACCATTGAACACACTCTCTCTCTAGACCAATAACGTTAATAATTTGCTATAGAATTTGTTTGGCTCCTGAATGAGACCAGGCCCTCTCTCTCGCACTTATAAAAATATAATGTTTATGAACCAGTCTATTTATGTTTTGATCATCAGGGGGCTGCGTTCGAGAACTTGGTTGTTGCAGTGGAAATTATTTCAGGGGGTGCATCCTCAAAATATCAGCTTTAATTTTACTCTAGTCGGGACTAGAGAGTTCGGTGCGCGCATCAGTACGCGTCAACCACCCTTCAGAACCGAAACACTTCGCCTTTCCGAACGGCATCTGTGTTATTTTTATACGACACACCATATTCTCGAACGCAACCCAGCTGATCTGCCACAAGAAAGGAGAGAAAACAAAACAATTACTACGTCATTGCCAAACTGTAAAAGCTTTCTTTAGAAGCAGGTAGGTAGTTCTATTTGAAACCAAATGGAGTGGTGATAAAGGGTATTTTTGATTTAGAATTATTTTAGATATAGATTTAAAACGTCCCAAATATATTTTAAATCGATTATAAGCAGAAAAATTTGAAATAGATACTTTTCATTAAATGACGATATTCATTATTATTCGAACAAAAAAAAAATCGGCAACGGGGCCTTTTTTCGTTTTGTTTATTTGATAAATCACCCCTCTGACCCCGCTACTTCATTAGGGAGCCAAACAGATATGCTTGTTGATCCCTCTAGCAGTTTAAAGCTCGATGCAAAATTCCATACTTAGGCCCAGTTTCACAAAGTGTAGTAAACTACTAGTTATGAGAAAACTACTAGTTAAAACGAAAACAGCATTTCACAATTGACGGTTCAACGTGACACCTTTAGTTAACCAGTAGTTGAATTAACCCAAGGATGCGTACGAGTTAACTATGAGTTGGCTGAAATGCTTCGTTTTTTAGGGCAGTTCAAAAGTGTCAAGTTTGAAAAGGTAAAATTATTGAATGAAAACTTTTGCATTTCTTTTTCCGTTAGTGATACAATTGGAATTAAAATCTGCTCCCACCCTTCTCCAAGCATTTTCTTATTTTTTGACACGTCGATGCGCCGCTTTTTTTACATTCTATAATGAACTTATATTTTTGCACGAGAGACACTCTTCATCCTTTGGAAAATTCGCAGACCTTTTCTAACTTGACTTCGGGATTTAAATTTGAACAGGAAACTGAATTGAATAGGTATCTGTGAAATTTTACTGCCACTGACACAAATTAATATACTTATTAATGACAAATCACAAAAAGTGACGTTATAGTGAAGTTTAAAGGGGCCTTTTTTTATTTTTCAAGGTGGTTTTAAAAATTTTGACAGAAAATCAAGTACCAACCTTTGAGAAATAAAATTCAACCATTAATCATTTAACCAACGATTGTTTGTTTAGTGTGAAACAGGTTAATGAGCCCAGTTAACTCCTGACCCCTAGTTGACTGACCAGCGGTGGTTACCACCGATTGTGAAACTGGGCCTTAGACGTTTTGGAACCCAACGTGCCTATGATGACTATTATATTAGTATCGGAGATATCGCTGTTTTGTTAGCTATAGCTTTGCTAGGGGCACCACCGTTTTCACAATGTTGTTTTAGAAGTCGCGGGCACATTAACAAATCTAGTACTAAAGGGGTTGTAGTAGACTACATTATTACCTTTTTAGTTTTTAAGGTATTATTTTTAATAATTGTATACCCGTTATAAATTAGCAGTCATTCAGTAAATTTGTCAGAAAGTTGTCAACCGAATTTCATTTCCTCGTCTTGAATATTGTAATTTACCTCCATAAATTGGTGACCCCGACGACTGAAATGCCAAATACGGAATCAGAAAATTCTTCTAATAGTACTTCTGCAAATATTAATTTCAAGCAGCCCGAATTTTGGCCGAATGACCCCCTCGTTTGGTTCACACAAATTGAAGCAATTTTCGCTACAAGAAAATTAACCTCGGATAAAAGCAAATACAATATCTTGGTGTCTTCGATCTCGCCAGAACTTGCAACTGAAGTACGTGACATTTTGCTGAATCCTCCTGAACAAAATGCATACGATACATTGAAGAAAGTGATCATTAAACGAACGACTTTATCTGATCAATCCAGAATTCAGAAACTTCTACGTATTGAAGAACTAGGTAAAGAAAAGCCGTCTCCTTTACTCAGAAAAATACAACAACTGCTAGGCGAAAAAGCAACAACAACAGATAAATCATTTATAAAAGAATTATTTCTTCAGAGATTACCCACCAATATCAAAACTGTCCTTGCCGCAATGGATGATTCTTCCAGTTTGGAATTACAAGCTGAAGTTGCAGATAGGGTTATGGGAGTAAATACGGAAATTCAGGTTGCTTATACTTACCAGCAAAAAAATGAAATGGATACCTCCTTTCAACATCCTTGTCAATGCCAGAAAAATAACCTTGCATTATCAAAAGACATCAATGAAATTAAAGAAATGCTAAAATCATTAAACATTGCTTCAAGAACTCATCAAACTAGACGAACATCAATTCCAAAATTTCAAAGTAGCAGATCGCCAACACCGCCTCCATCGCGTTACTGTTACTACCATTCACGTTTTGGAAAAAAAGCTCAAAGATGCAATTCACCTTGCTCATGGTCGGAAAACTTGAGAACCGGCAATTAGTTGCGGCTGCTTTTGCTGGTAATTTAAAAACAGGTCGTTTAATATTTATTCGGGATGAATACTCAGGCATCAAATATTTGATCGATACAGGTAGTCAAGTAAGTGTATTACCCTTAAAATATTTAATAAATAAACAAAATCCTAAATTTTTATTAAAATCCGCAAATAATCATAATATAAATACTTATGGTTTCAGATCGATGACTTTGAATTTAGGTTTCGAACGTCCATTTAACTGGGTTTTTATCGTAGCTGACGTGAAGTACCCAATAGTAGGTATAGATTTTTTGCAAAAATTTAAAATTTTAGTTGATGTTTCGAGGTATTGTTTGGTGGATGAAAGCGGTTGCATGAGCAATTCAGGTGCAGTATCAAATATTTTGTCCTGTGAAATTACACATGTTTCCACTGACAGTAATATTGATTCAAAATTTGGAAATATTCTTAATCAGTTTCCTTCTTTAACAATGCATAATATGAATTACATGTCAGTGAGACATAGTGTTACTCATTTCATTGAAACAACAGGTCCTCCTATTTATTCTAAAGCACGTAAATTAGCACCTGATAAATTAAAAATTGTTAAGAAAGAGTTTGATCATATGCTTGAGCTAGGAATTATTCGCCCCTCTTCAAGTAGCTGGGCTTCACCACTTCATGTAGTTCCTAAAAAAGGGG